GACAGATACAAACTTTATAAGATTTATATGTATCTTTTTATATATATCTTTTCCATGTGGGAATGTAACAAGTAACAATAACTGGAACAGTTGAAAACTGATCAAAGGCTGGACTTGAATATTGTGGTTGATCATCTGGCCCAGAGTTTTGGCGATGCAGCTTATCCACAACTAACATCCTTAACCTGCCTGTAGAAACCCTGAGGTGTCCACGGTTCGGGGTCCCCGATGCTGGAGGCGACGCTGGTGATGGTGGAGGCAATGAGGCGGACGGTGCCGGCGATGACGACTATCACAGGAGTGACCCACAGATCGCAATCTGCCTGGACTGCTTACGCAACACAGGACCGTCGGGGGAGAGCACGGTCACGGTGCGTGTTATTTTACATATAACGTTTAATTAAGAAATATTAAATACTCGTACAGGCATTGAAACACAATATCACCTTGTTTTGGTCCTCTCTATGATGTAAAAGGGTATTCCATGTCTTTGCTGCTGGATGTGTTGGGAATTGTTTCCAAACTTCACGGGTGCTTGGTGCATAATCCCCTGTAAAGATGTAATTGTGTTTTCATGTCTTTTCCTTTAAAAACCTGCAATTATGCCTCATTAAATCAGTGTGTAAGAGTTATTCTCTCATCCAATTAGGATTTGATGAAGAGGTTCATCCGCTGCTCCAGTAGAGTCACCGTGGGAACAATTAAGAAGTTTCTCAGTCTTAAACTAAAGCTGCCGAGTTCCTACGAGGTATGGAGCACACTCTGTCCTCCTGTTTTCATTCATTGAAATATGTGTCACGATTCAAAGGCATGTTTTTCTTTACTTAACCACACAAACTTACCGGTTGATCGGTAGGATTACCTTCGTGGGGCTTGATCGTTGATGTTGAGCAGTGATGGTATAAAGCTCTGCAGCTCTGCCCATAAAAGGCACAAATCATACTTGAGTTTGAGTTTGACTGGTCTCCCCTTCAGGGTCATCTCCCCATGCACTTCTGGAGCACCTTCAGCACTCCTGCAAGTGCTCAGTCCCCTTCTGACCACCTGCCCTTGAGTTTCTGAGCTTTCACCATAGATCTCAAACAGAGCAAAGAAACATTACAGAGGCAAACGGACACTTTTAGAGGCTTAATTTTTTCTTTATGACCAGAGTTGCAAAAATCACTCCACTTTGAATATTTACAGGGTTCCACTGACTTCATAATGTAATAAAGTTACTTTCTTCACTACTTTGGGAGGGCTGACTAGAGTGTAATCTCTTTATCTAAGGGAACCTTTTCGGAGATGTCTGTCCTAACTGTACCTCACATTATTACTTTGCTCAAACAGTCTTCACGCACATTTTCATTTTTGCTTTGTACACATAAACACAAGAGTTACCACAAAAACGGCTTCCCTCTGAGAGACTAGGGTCCACTCTTTGGATCTGTGGTGCATAGAGTCATGGGTGTCTTCTTCTCAGCCCACTGTAATTCAAAGAAATGCTGAAATGCGGTGCTTTCCGGCCACATCACAGATCTGTTTTAGTTCTGAACTACTACAGTAGATGACGGTACAGGTGTTGTCACACATTCAGGGTGTGAAGTCTGACTGTCAGAGGCTGACTGTCTCTGACGAGGATCTGCTTCTTCCTGTTAAAAGGGAGTTTTTCCTTCCTACTGTCACCAAAGCTCTCGCTCATAGGGGGTCATCTGATTGTTGAGGTTTTCTCTGTATTGTTGTAGGGTCTACCTTAACCTCCTAGGACCTGGAGTCCACATATGTGGACATCACATTTTGGGATGTCTCGACCAAAATAGAAAATTTTGCTCTACAAGGGCGTGATATTCACTTATGAGGACATTAT